CTAGTCTGGAAGGAATCCACAGCTTTTCATCTTCTGTGGAAACAAAAACAGAATCTCTTTTCCAAAGTAATATGCTCTCAGACTTAAATTTGGAAGTCAAGGCATTTTCAAAATATGGATTAATTCAGCAGCATTCATAATCAAATGTCTGTTAGCAGCTGTTGCTCCCTCCTCAGTAATCAAACAATTCAAAGACAACACAATAACATATAGTGTCTAGAGACAGGGTTTCTCTGTGGCTTTGAAGGTTGTCCTGGAACTCACTCTGTAGACCAGGCTGGTGTCGAACTCAGAGATGCACCTGCCTCTGGTTCCCGAGTGCTGGGATTAAAGGTGTGCACCACCTAATGTGGCCTTTTTTATTACTCTATCTTTTTTTAGTTTTTTTTTTTTGAGATTCTCTGTGTATTTTTTTTTTTTTTTTTGGTTTTTCGAGACAGGGTTTCTCTGTGGCTTTGGAGGCTGTCCTGGAACTAGCTCTTGTAGACCAGGCTGGCCTCGAACTCACAGAGATCCGCCTGCCTCTGCCTCCTAAGTGCTGGGATTAAAGGCGTGTGACACCAACGCCCGGCTCTCTGTGTATTTTTGCCTGTCCTAGAGTTCACTCTGTAAACCAGGCTGGCCCTGTCATCGCAGAGATCCATGTGCCTCTGCCTTCTAAGTGCTGGGATTAAAGGTATGTGGCACCATACCCAGCTCTTTCTTCCTTTCTTTCTCTCTCTCTCTCTCTCTCTCTCTTTCTTTCTTAATCTCTCTTATCTTTTTAAGACCCACATTTCTTTTTTTTAAAGGACTTTATCCTTTTTCTTTTCTCTCCCAAGCCTACACATATTTTTCAAACACAATGTAGACCCTTTAGTGGGTTTTCTTCATTTGAATCAGTCTTTACTGTATATCTCCATCTCTTTCTGACCATGACTCCTTTTTTTTTTTTTTTTTTTTTTTTTTTTTTTTTTTGGTTTTTCGAGACAGGGTTTCTCTGTATTGTTTTGGAGGCTGTCTGGAACTCGCTCTGTAGACCAGGCTGGCCTCAAACTCAGAGATCCTCCTGCCTCTGCCTCCCGAGTGCCGGGATTAAAGGCAAGCGCCACCAACACCCAGCTTCTGACCGTGGCTTTTAATCTGCTAAATTTAATGGCTAGGATTAAAGTGGAGGTTTGAGCTGACTGACTCTACCCAGTTAGGCTCCAACATGGCAGAGGTATGTTTGCTGCTAACTCTGGGAGCTGTGCTTACTACCTCGACTCTGGTCTAGGCTACTATTAAGCAGCTTGCAGCACACTGCCCGGAAACCTTTTTTGTCTGTATGAGTAAAAGCCAAATCTGCCATGCAGCATGCTGTTCGGCTTGGAGACTCTAGGAAGTCCAGTGCGGCTCTGTTTCTGGGCGTTCAGAGCCCTTTTTAAGCCTTTGTCGGGTTTTACATGGGAATTCTCACCCCGAGGTTGGGCACCATTTTGAAGACAGGGTTTTTGTTCTGCCTAGTCCCGCTGCCCTTCAGTCCCAAATAAATGCAGAGGCTTATATTAACTATAAATTGTTTGACCGATGGCTCAGGCTTCTTATTGGCTAGCTCTTTCTTAGTTGTTAACCCATTTCTATTAGCTACTGGCCAATCAGCATTTATTCACCAACCAATAAGAGAAACATAGTCACAGCATAGAGAAGGACATCCCCCCATGGGAAAATGCTTGTAAAACATATTTCTAGCCGGGCATATGTGGCGCACGCCTTTAATACCTGCTCTTGGGAGGCAGAAGCAGGTGGATCTCTGTGAGTTCAAAGCCAGCCTGGTCTACAGAAGGAGCTCCAGGACAGCCTCCAAAACAATACAGAGAAACCCTGTCTTGAAAAACCGAAACCAAAACAAAACAAAACGAAAACGTGTTTCTAGTGAAAGATTTATACCCTAAGTCTATAAGAAAGCTTGCCACCCAATAACTGTGTGTGAGTGTGTGTGAGTGTGGATGCACTCGTTCTAAGGTGCACCTATGCTTGTCAGAGGACAACTTGAAGGAGTGATTTCTCTCCTTCTACCACATGGGGCCTGTGGATGGAGTTCAGGTACTCGTTTGATAGCAGGTACTTTCACCAGCTGAACCATCTCACCCAAACAAAAAAAAAATGTAATTTAAAACATCTTTATTAATTAAAGACCTACAGAATGAGTTCAGTGTCAGTCTGGACAACTTAACAGAACTTTTTTTCTAAAAACAAATGGTGTTTTTGTTTGTTTGTTTGTTCGCTTGCTTTTGGTTTTTCGAGACAGGGTTTCTCTGTGGCTTTGGAGGCTGTCCTGGAACTTTCTCTGTAGCCCAGGCTGGCCTCGAACTAACAGAGATCCGCCTGCCTCTGCCTCCCGAGTGCTGGGATTAAAGGCATGCGCCGCCACTGCCGGGCTCCAAAACCAAGTTTTAAAAAAGGGCTGGGGTATATGTTCAGTGGTAGCCCAAGACCTCACACATTTGCCCAGCATGTGTGAGGTCCTGACTCACTTCCTGAGTATTGTAATTACAAGCACAAGGTTTGAGATGTTCCACAAAGTCTCAGGCATTTGGACACTTGGGCCTCAGTTGATAGTACTCTTTGAGATGGGCCAGCAGTTAAGAACACTTCCTGCGCCGGACGTTGGTGGCGCATGCCTTTAATCACAGCACTCGGGAGGCAGAGGAAGGCGGATCTCTGTAAGTTCGAGACCAGCCTGGACTACCAAGGGAGTTCCAGGGCAGTCTCCAAAGCCACAGAGAAACCCTGTCTCGAAAAAAACCAAAAAAAAAAAAAAAAAAAAAACACTTCCTGATCTTTCAGAAGACCAAAGTTTGGTTTCCAACACCCTGCCGGGAAGCTCCCAATCCTCAATAACTCCAACTCCAGGGAACCCAGCACCTTCTTCCTGCCTCTTCAGGTTCCTGTAGGCACACATACACACACACACAGATACAGACAACATAAATTAACAAAATAAATATTTTCCCAAAGTGCTAATACAGCCAGTCATTGATTCATATCTGTGATTCCAGCACTTGGAAGACTTAACTTGGGGGGGGCAGCCTGAGGTATATATTTTTGGGCTATCTTTAACTACGAAGGGAGGCAAGGGAGAGAGAACAGTCTTAAGCTGTGCTGGACTTGTGAGATCAGCCTGAGCTACAGGAGCTCCTGTCAGCAAACAACAAAAGTACTGAGCTTACCTTCCCCAGTAAAGCGAGCTAGACATCAGCTACCTGCATGCACCAAGACCTGGATTCCCTCCCTGCATGACGAAAAAGAAAACATAACCCAGGGAAGGAATCCAGGCATGGTGGTGAATGCTCGTAATCCCAGAAATCAGGAAGTGTTGGTGGGGAAACCAGTAGTTCAAAGTCATCCTAGCCTACACTGTCTCTTTGAGCCTGGTTTTGTGGTATTTGAGGCCCTGAGGGAGAGGGCGAGAACTCTTTGGAAGACAATGCTGCAAACCTGCTGTCTCCGGGGCCCTGCATTACTGTCTTTTGCCACATCTTGTTTTCTGAAGAAATCTGCAGCCTGTCTTGGGACACAAAGCAGTGCATTTCCTGGGAGGTCCTTCTCACTAAGAACCCCCCAACGGCACGGACGACAGGCCCACAGATGCTGGCTAGCTACACGTGGGAAGGCCCAGACCCCTGCATTCTCAGCTCCACTCTGTTTATGTCTTTTGATATGAGGAACTCAGAGCTAAATGGTCAAGCGGCAGAAACACTTAATTCAGGGTTCTTGTTATGGGGCAGACACCAGGGTCTGGAGCTGAGCTCAGAGCACGGCATGACCTGTGGGAACCAACAGAGATAGTGGGGCTCAGGGAAATCTGGTGCATCACCCTAATAGGGTACGTGCTAAAGACAGACCAGGGTAGGGGAGAGCAGCTAAGGCAAAATGGAGGCTGAGGAGTCCACTCCCTCCCCCCACTCCCTGCAGACTTCAGGCTTATTGCTAAAATTAGGCATAGTGGTACAAATCTTTAATCCCAGCACCTGGGGGGAAGAGGCAGGCAGATCTCTGTGAGTTCTAGGCCAGCATGGTCTACAGAGTGAGTTCCAGGACAGCCAGGGCTACACAGAGAAACCCTGTCTCAAAAAAAAAAAAAATCATTAGCCATGCAGTGGTGGTGCATGGCTTTAATCCCAATACTCTCAAGGAAGAAGAGGCAGGCAAACTCACAGAAATGAGTTTAAGGCCAGCCTGGTCTACAGAGTGAGTTCCAGGACAGCCAGAGAAACTCTGTCTCAAAAAACAAAAACAAAAACAAAGAAAGAAAAAGAAAAGAAAAAGAAAAGAAGACAGGGGTAAGATCCTCAAAAGACCTCACCAGGAAAGTCCCCCATCCTGCAGGGAACACACCCTTGAGGTGCAGGAAGCCCAAATGAACCACAGCGTCAAGGCAACTGAAGACCCAATCCTTGCTCCCACTCCGCCCCTGACCACTGAGTAGCTGGCACCCCTGGTGCTCAGGGCCACAATGTTGCGCGCAGAGCTCATGGCTCCTCTCACCCCTCAGCCTCATTACCCAGCTCACAGAGGGGCAGCCCTTGGATGTGGGGCTGGGCCCTTCCAGCCTGTACCCCACAGCCCTGCACAAGCGCCCCCCCCCCCCCCGCGCAGCAGATGCAAGCAGAACGTCTTTGCCTTCTGCTCATTGCCTGGAGCAAAAGCGGGAGAGGGTGGCTCCGTGCAGGATTTCTGAAAATGGGGGTACGGGAAGACAAGGCACCCAGGAGCATCCCTCTCCTGAGCCCTATAGCCCCGGAGGAGGGCTAGGTGGCAGGGTCACCCTGTGTACTTGACAGACGTGTACAAGGCAGGGAACTGGAGGGGGGACCCATAGCTTGGGGCACAGGACTCAACATCCCCTAAAACAGAAATGAAGTCCGGGGGAAAAAAGACAGCATCTGACCAAAGAGTTGACCCAGGGACCAGAGGGGAGGGGCTGGGGCTGGGGAGGGGCCAGTGGGTGACAGGAAAGAGACCAGATGTGTTTCAGAGGAAATGGACACTTGGCGATGTCCTGGGTTCCCGAGAGGAGTCTTGGGCTCACGACTATGTCATCTGCAGGTGAGAGGTGAAGGAGATGAGACGTGGATTGGAAACTGGGGCCTCAGAGTTTGAAAAGCCCAGGGACCCTGGAAATTGTGGGGAGGCAATGTCTCGATGCAAGCCGGAGAAAGCGAGCCACAACGGAGAACTTTCTAGAAAGCAGCGTGGCCCTCAGTATTACAGGATGTGGAGAAGCCAGAGAAGTGGAAGCCCAAAAGCACCCAGGGGAGTTTCTGACTCCAGGGTCACTGGGCAAGAGGGGGAGTTCTCCGGGCAGAAGATGGCTCAAGGACTCGCGGGGGGGGCAGGGGAGCGGGAGAGCATGTCCTTTGCAGGGTTTTAAGCCCAGGGGTGAAAGGTGGACGTGTGACTCCTCGGAAAAGGAGGCACGGGGGAGAAAGGAAAGGATCATGCAGACTGAGGTGCGACTCCCGTCAAGGGATTGTCAAATGAGCGGCGTTGGAGGGGGCTTACTGGACGGGACGAGTCCCTGAGGTCCACAGGGGATGTCACCAGGCAAGGGCTTACGAGGCACTATTGGGGATCCCCTTGTCTGAATCCTGCAGGGCAGCCCACACACCTCGGTGTCCCCCCCCCACCTCTACCCCCGGGTCTGTGGTGCATGCATGTGTGGCCGCTGCAATAGTTTCAACTCGGGAGACAGATGAGGATTAAGTAAGGGACTTAATCCTTCCGGAAAACCAGGACTGCATCCTGAGTGCAACGGTGCGACCCCAGGACAACCAAGGCATCATCGCTAGAGAAAGGGGCGCTCTGAGTCACGCCCTCCTCCCTTCTTTGCTGGGCGAGCTCAGTCCCGCCCCGGCCAGGTCAGGATTCACCAGCGAAGGGTCTCAGAAGACCGGGGGTGTGCAAGGTTGGATCTGCGGGGTTGCGGTACGCCCAGCGAGGGTCCTCGGAAGGGACCCGTGGTGTCGGGAGTCTGGGTCAGGGCTTGAGCAAGGCTCCGTGTGCCAGAGGGGTGGGGAGGCGGGTGCGCGGAGTTGCAGATCCGCAAAGCAAGCGCCGCACGGGAGAGATCCTCCGGGTTACACCGGGAGGGTTTGAGGGCTCGCAGCAGGTCCGCTGAGCTAAGGCGCGGGCGCGGACCCCAGGCTCTCCCCCCCTCCCCTGCCGGCCGCTCCCGCCCCCGCCCCCTCCCCCTTCGCCGCCGCCGCCCAACGTCGCCGCCGGAAAGTTTGCAAGCGCGGAGCCGCCGCGCCGACCCCGACCAGTGGCTGCTAAATTCCAGACCCCGGCGCGCTCGAGGACCGCGAGGAGCCCAGCCCTAGCCCGAGCGACTGAGCGCAGTGAGCATTAGGGTCGGGCCCTTTGGGGGACAGTCCCAGGCGGTCCGTGGGGGCGCCGGAGCACCGGCGTGACCAGGGCGCGCAGAGGAGGGCAGTGAGGAGCCCCGTTCCGCGGGCCTGGACGTGGACCAGCTGTCCCTGGGGTCTTGGGCGTCGCGGTTCTCGCCCCCCTCCCCACCTCCGGTCGAAGACCTCAGTTTCCAACCCGGGGGATGTGTCGTACTGTTTGGACGGTCACCTGATCTCTAACCGTCCGACAGGTTAGAGGTCTCCACCTCTCCCTTCTGTCCCCTGGGAGCGCAATCCGGGAGCCGACGCCGTGAGAGGGTGGGCGCAGGCGGGGGTCCTGCTGCCCCACTGAGCGCCTAAGGTATTCCAGCTCCCCGCCCATCCCCCAACGGCTCGCTCATCCTCCCCCTCCCCGGTTAGATCCGCGCTCTCCCCTCCTATGCTTCCCCGATGCCCAGGACTCCCTAGCAGTGAGTGACCCACTCTTGCTGGGATAGGGTGAGGTGTGCAGGCACCCCGCCTTGAGGGCTTTCCTTCCGCAGGTCACGATTGTTCACTTTGACCCTTGCGAGCGCGCTTGTCCTGCCCGCACCACCCCCCGGCTCCCCAGCGGCCCCCTTCCCACTTCAGACCCATGGAGTTCACCTCTTTCTTGGCTCTGGCACCCTCCGAGGATCGACCAGGAATATTTTGCTGCCCTTCTGTCTTGGAGACATAAGAGGGGGGGAATTAATCAGGGCTCACCCTGGCGGGTGTCGCAGGGCTTGCCCGCCCCCTTTCGAGGGAAGGACTCAGGGATTTTGTCAACAGTCTGTGGACCCTGATCCTGTCCCTGCCCTAGGGCTATGACCCGGGCTAGTTCCTCTGTTTTGACCAAAAACCCTCTTCCAGTTGGTAACTTTATTCCTCGGATCAAAGACTTTGCCAGCTCTCCAGCTTTGGCTCCTAGGGAACCAAGAGCCTCCCCAGTGATGCCTCTTTCGGTCACTGGGGCCATCCATCTGACCCTCCCCTCAGCCACCTGCAGAGAAAAATCGGTGCCTCACTGGCCACACTGCAAACACCCAAGAGTCCTTTGCCCTGTTGGGGCCGGCTGGGAGCAGTGGTGGCATGGGGCAGTTGCCAGTCCAGGTGGCTGGTGTGCCGGGTGTGAGCTGTGAAGAAGGTGGGGGGGGGGCACAGGCGAGCGCTTGCGCTACAGACAAGACAGGCTGACGTCTTAGGCATTCAGGCTCCACGTTTCATATGCAGCTGCGCCTCATGAAATCTGACACCCGAGAGGGGGGTTTCAGTCCAAGGAGGGAAGGGAGGGTAGGGTCCCTGGTCTATTGTCCCTTACCTCCATCTGTTCCTTGCCCGGGAGGTAATAAGGTGGAAAAAGGGGACACGGGAGCAAAGGTGCTGCTGTATCCACACCTGGCTGTCGTCACCCCAGGGCTAGGACTATGCTCTCATTGGATGAATATTTATCAGTGCCGACGGCTGTCTGGGTGTCAGTATTTACCTCCCACTGTGGGGACAGGAGGCAGACGGCACGGGATACACAGATTGATCAGTCCTGTGCTACAGATGACAAAGCCCTGTACCATCCAGTGGCACAGTCCCCTTCGGTGACTGGAAAAGGATTCCCTGTTAGTCTTTTGTGTGTGTGTGTGTGTGTGTGTGTGTGTGTGTGTGTGTGTGTGAGACAGGGTTTCTCTGTATTGTTTTGGAGGCTGTCCTGGAACTTGCTCTGTAGACCAGGCTGGCCTTGAACTCACAGAGATCCGCCTGCCTCTGACTCCTAAAGTGCTGGGGTTACGCCCAGCTTCAGTCTCACATTCATCCCCCTCTGTGGTATGGGAGTAAGCCCCCTGGGCAAGCTGCCCTGAAGGAAGATCTGGGGGACATGAGGGTCCAATCCCCTTCTTTTGGGGCTTGCTTGTCTCTGAAGTTCCCCGTTGATTTTCAGCAGCCCCTTCCTACGATCAGCAACATGGTCCTCCTGGCCCTGGGAGGTCAGTAAGGTGGGGTTCAGGACGTTCATATTTTCTTTTCTCCCCCACCCCACCCCGCCCCGAGACAGGGCTTCTCTGTGTAGCCCTGGCTGTCCTGGAGCTCACTCTGTAGACCAGGCTGGCCTCCAACTCAGATCCACATGCTTCTGCCCCCCGAGTGTTGGGATGGCAGGCTCCTGGAACCACCCGGCTGTTGAACAGTCATGTTCTCAGCCAGGGCTCTGGAGGCAGACCCGGGCTCTAAAGACTGTTTGCCCCCTTCCCCCACTGAACTGATTTCCACCACCACCTCCCCATGCCCATTACCTGTGTCCCCACTATCCATCCCTTTGTCACGCCGCCCAGAAGCTTTCCCATCTCCAGCATTGCTTTTCCAGGGCCTCTGGGAGACCCCAGCAGCTCTGGGGTGGGGACCAGGCATAGTGGGTGAAGGACCAGCTTCTGGTTTCTCCAGACCCAGACCACTAGTGACCTGGGAATCAGATGGGGCTATCTGATTCAAATCAGAATAAGGCCACTTGGTGACCCAGAGATAGGGACAGTCTGAACTCCTCCTCCTCAATCTGTTTGCTGCTTTGTTCCCAGCAAGAACCCTCTACTCTGTGGGTATTTATTTTGTCCCTGAGGTTCAGAAACCAGAGACCTAAAACTCCTGTATCTTACCTCCTGCCAGGCTCTATTGACCAAGAGCTAGGCTGGGGAGTCCCATAGTAGGCTTCCAGCCAGGTGTGCCTGAAGGGAGGGCAGAAGTGAATGGGGGTCCCCTCAAACTGTTGCCTCTAGAACTGAACTGGGCTTACCATAGCAGGCTAAAATACAGGGACCCCCTTTTCTGCCAGCTGGGACCCCCTGCAAATCCCACTCCCATAGCCATATCCATGTTCCTCTCTTCTCCTCTTCACCCTCCCTCTCCAGCCCACCTGGGGAGGGGGGGTCTTGCTATATATAGTCCTGGCTGGCCAAGAACTCACTATATAGAGAGGCTGCCCTGGAAATTTGGGTGGTTCCCCTGCTTCCACCGCCTAAGTGCTTAGGACTACAGGTATGCGCTGCCGTACCTGGCTGCCTACTTTTTTTTTGTTTGTTTGTTTGTTTTTTGGTTTTTCAAGACAGGGTTTCTCTGTATTGTCTTGGAGTCTGTCCTGGAACTCGCTCTGTAGACCAGGCTGGCCTTAGACTCACAGAGATCTGCCTGCCTCTACTTCCCGAGTGCTGGGACTAAAGGAGTGCGCCACCACCGCCCAGCTGCATTTTTTTTTTTTTGGTGGCCGTCTATTTTATATCTGCTTGTGGGTGCACTCAGGAGAGAGGCCCATCTCTACAGGCCGCAGGGAGAAGCTCTTCTCTCTTCCACCACGAGAACCCATCAGAGCCCAGAAGGGTTCTGATGTGGCCGGCGTCGGGCTGATGTGTGTATGTGGCTGCCACTGCCCAGGACCTGTCACTGGTGTTCCTGTGTCTTGCAGGCAGCATCAGGCAGGGGTGTCCCTCATCTGGGCCCTGGCAATAGCAGTGCTAAATCTTAGAGGGACGTGCTGCCAGTTTGGTGCCCCAGGTGGCCAAGAGGCTCGGTCTGAGAGTCTCTGTGCAAGGTTCACAGTGTCATATGGAGACACTGGTCCTGGGAAAGGGACATATAGGTGGCAGAGACCACCTAAGCACATGACCCAGATTACCTGGCCCCTGGCAGTCCAGGAACTGCCCTGGTACAAGGGCCAAGTGACGATGGGCCTGGGCACTATACCCTCACTCTCTTTATCATGGGTTAGATTGTCTGGGCCAGTCAGCTTTCCAAGGATTAGGGTGGGGAAATCTAGGCTCAGCCAGGGCAACAGGACTGAGGGGGATGGTAGTGGCAGGGGTACCACTCTGAAAGATTTGGGTGGCCCAATAGGCTGACTGCTGTCAGCCAGCAAGCCCAAGGTAGCAGGAAAATAGTTGCCCATAGTCACCTATCTCTGGATTGGCAGTGGGAGCTACTCACACGCCCCCCCCGCCCCACAACCCCCCTGATAAGCCTCAGCTATCATTTGGCCTTAGGCTCAAGGGCTTGATCTTAGGGAACAGGGTTCTCTATGGACTCTCTCCAGACTCCATTAACCTGACTCTCTGCAGCCTGCGGAGGGGTGTATACACCCCAAGGATCCAGACGTGTAACCCCTGCCAGATGTGGGGGGAGGCTACCCAGAGACATGCCCCTCACCCAGCTCCACAGTCCCTACCCCCTGCTGCTGCTGCTGCTGTCATGCCTGGTGAGTGCTGTAACTCCACCCCCCAAACCCTGCCTGCATGGAGGGCTGGGCTGTCTGCTCGGTACAGAAGTGCTGACAGCTCTCTGTCCTGTCTGTCTTTCTGGCTGCTTGCCCATCTGTCTCCCAGGCAAAGGCACCCTCTGCCCAGGTGATGGACTTCTTGTTCGAGAAGTGGAAGCTGTACGGTGACCAGTGTCACCACAATCTGAGCCTGCTGCCCCCGCCTACCGGTGAGTCCCACCCGCGTACTCCTGTGACCTTTTACCCTGCCTGAATGTGCAGTGTAGAGACCTTCCTACGGAATTGTGACAGTAACACTCAATGGCTTTTTCCTGCCCAGCCACCTGCCCCCAGTTTCAGGCCAGGTGACTGACCGCTAGGGGCAAGCGGCTTCCCCAAGGCTGCGTAGTCAGGAAACAGTAGAAATGCAGGACAAACTGCTGTCCTCCCTGCTGCAGGATGCCTCTGTGCCCGGGCAGCTGATGCCTCTGCTTTCACTGCTCACAGTGGGCAGACGGCGGATAGGGTCAGCAGCAGGTGCCGAGAGAGATTACATCCATACCGCTGCTCAGCAGGGATAGATGACCAGTGCCTAGGAGAGAGGGAGAAGGACATAGGAACCGTGGATGGGACTGGGCCTGGAAAGGATGCCAGCCAACCTGGAGAACATCTGGGAAGGAATGTGTTATAAGGGGCCAGTGAGATGGCTCGGCAGATAAAGGCCCTTGCTCTGGGACCCACATAGTGAAAACAGAAATGATTGTTGCAAGTTGTCCTATGACCCTATGAGCTTATGTGCACACGTGTGTGCTTCTGCGTACATGCATGTGTACACACAGATACACACAATAAATAAACAAACAAATGTGAAAATGTAAAAACTAATTTAAGCCCGGCGTTGGTGGTGCACGCCTTTAGTCCCAGCACTGGGGAGGCAGAGGCAGGCGGGTCTCTGTGAGTCTAAGGCCAGCCTGGTCTACAGAGCAAGTTCCAGGACAACCAAGACTACAAAGAGAAACCCTATCTCAAAAAACCAAAACCAAAACAAACAAACAAAAAACAAAAAGCTCCCTACACACACACAAAAAACAACTAATTTCAAAAGAAGGCACAGCCCAGCACTCGGGAGGCAGAGGCAGGTGGATCTCTGTGAGTTCGAGGCCAGCCTGGTCTACAGAGCGAGTTCCAGGACAGCCTCCAAAGCCACAGAGAAACCCTGTCTCGAAAAAACCAAAAAAAAAAAAAAAGAAGGCACAGTTTGGAACTCATTTGAGACAGACAAACTCAACAGTTGACTGGGCGGGAGGGCAGGTGGGCATGGTCCAGGAGACCAGGGGCTATGCCTTGTGTCACATGTCAGGGAGGCAGCCCCTTTGATAGTGATGCCCCGGGGGCTTCTGGTCCTGATTTGGAGCCTCTCCTCCACCCGCCTTCATCTTCACAGAGCTCGTCTGTAATAGAACCTTCGACAAGTACTCCTGCTGGCCTGACACCCTGCCAAATACCACAGCCAACATCTCCTGCCCCTGGTACCTACCTTGGTACCACAAAGGTAACGATGGACGGAGGGCCTGGGAAGCTGAGGGGGGGTGGAGCATAGGGGTGGGCTGACCAGAGCCTCGCAACCCGCGTCTCAGTACAGCACGGCCTGGTGTTCAAGAGATGCGGGCCTGATGGGCAGTGGGTGCGAGGACCACGGGGGCAGCCGTCGCGCAATGCCTCCCAGTGTCAGATGGATGATGAAGAGATCCAGGTCCAGGTCAGCTCTGGAGGGTTTGGGGCAGGGCGGGGCGCGGCGCGGTGGGGCGGGGCGGGGGGGCGTGGTTTCACAGTGGGGCTGGGTGGAGGGGGCAGGGGATGAGGCACTGCCCAGCCCCGCTCAGCCTCTGGTTTGCAGAAGGAGGTGGCCAAGATGTATAGCAGCTACCAGGTGATGTACACTGTGGGCTACAGTCTGTCCCTGGGGGCCCTGCTCCTTGCCCTGGTCATCTTGCTGGGCCTCAGGTATACTGCTGTCACTCAGCTCGTCCCCAGTGTGGTGGTCGGGGTGGGGTAGAAGGACAGGGCAGGGGTGGTGCTGACTTGCCCATCATACAGGAAGCTGCGCTGCACCCGAAACTATATCCACGGGAACCTGTTTGCATCCTTTGTGCTCAAGGCTGGCTCCGTGCTGGTCATTGATTGGCTGCTCAAGACCCGCTACAGCCAGAAGATTGGAGATGACCTCAGCGTGAGCGTCTGGCTCAGTGATGGGGTGAGCCATAGACCTGAATGCTCCGCTCACCGGCCTGTGTAGGGTGGCGGGCTTCCGTGGACCTCACTCATGCCTCACTTCGCCCAGGCGGTGGCTGGCTGCCGAGTGGCCACGGTGGTCATGCAGTACGGCATCATAGCCAACTATTGCTGGTTGCTGGTGGAGGGTGTGTACTTGTACAGCCTGCTGAGCCTCGCCGCCTTCCAGGAGAAGAGCTTCCTCTTCCTTTACCTGTGCATTGGCTGGGGTGAGTAGGCTGCTGGTGGGGAGGACGGGAGGACGGGGAGGCAAGGTAACCAGGGTCATGGAACCACAGCGGCTGTTTCCCACAGGAGCGCCTCTGCTGTTTGTGGTCCCCTGGGTGGTGGTCAAATGTCTATTTGAGAATGTCCAGTGAGTATGGGTTAAGAGGATGGGCTGGGGCCGGGCGTTGGTGGTGCACGCCTTTAATCCCAGCACTCGGGAGGCAGAGGCAGGGGGATCTCTGTGAGTTCGAGGCCAGCCTGGACTACCAAGTGAGTTCCAGGACAGCCTCCAAAGCCACAGAGAAACCCTGTCTCGAAAAACCAAAAAAAAAAAAAAAAAAAGAGGATGGGCTGGAGCAGCTGGGGAAGATGGTGGTGGGCTTTGTGAAGTGACCCCGGGGGAAAGACGGGGGGGGGCGGGGGGGCGAAGGTAAAACACTTCGGCGGCGGCGAGAGATGTAAACCCAGGCTCTGGGGCTGGGGTTCGTTAGACACTCTCTTATCCTTCCTATCCTTCCTGGGGGGCGCTCAGTGAATCCCAGCAGATAGGGGGTAGGGGCTGGGGAGCTGCATGCATCACCAGGATGTAAGCCACTGGCCCCTGCAGGTGCTGGACCACCAACGACAACATGGGCTTCTGGTGGATCTTGCGGATCCCTGTCTTCCTGGCCATCCTGGTGAGGAAACAAGATGCTCGTTGTTGCCCTCAGCAGGGAAAGGGCCACTGGCTTGGCTCTCCCAGGTCCTTCCTTTCCTCAGCCTTCTGGAGAGGATGGGAGGGGGTGGGTGGGCAATCCCAGCATTTGTCTGCCAGATCCAGAGCTATGTGTCCAGGACTCACTTGGCAACAACCTCACTCACCTGCAGGGGGCTGGGGGGGGACAGACAACACTTGAGCCCCGTGAAAGACACAGGAAGTCCTCAGGCTGCCTCTGACCTTCGACTTCCTCACGCAGATCAATTTTTTCATCTTTGTCCATGTCATTCATCTCCTTGTGGCCAAGCTGCGTGCCCGTCAGATGCACTATGCTGACTATAAGTTCCGGTGGGCAAGGGTCAGGGTCAGGGTCAGGGCCCGGGCCAGAGAGGGGCTGGGGTTGCGGGCTGATGCCTTTGTCGGGAGAGCCCAGAAGCGCCCTGGCATGGGAGGGTGCTCAGTCCCTGCCTCTGCAGGTTAGCCAGGTCCACGCTGACCCTCATCCCTCTGCTGGGGGTCCATGAGGTGGTCTTTGCCTTTGTGACGGATGAACACGCCCAGGGCACCCTGCGCTCTGCCAAGCTCTTCTTTGACCTCTTCCTCAGTTCCTTCCAGGTGAGTCCCCGCCATACCCCACCCCTAGGGCCCGGAGTGCTATCCCTGACCACCCTCTTTCTCCAGGGTCTGCTGGTGGCTGTCCTCTACTGTTTCCTCAACAGGGAGGTAGGTAAGGCTGGGACCAGGGTCAGGACATGGCACAGAGGCCGGCCCTGCCCTGCTATGACCACACCTCCCTCCCCATTGTTACGGGTTGCATGTGTTGGATGTCAGGTCCCCCCCTCCCCCCCCCCCCGGGAGTTCAGTATGTGAGGTGATTCCCCACCGTCCCTGGTGACAAATGGCCCTGCTACACCCAATGTGGAATTTGCCTTGCTTTAGGTCTGCTTAGACTGAGGCTGGGCACCTCAGAGTCACCCAGGCAGGATCCTAGTGAGGTAGGGTGGCAGAGTGGTCTTACCTGTGGTTTCCGGTAGGTGCAGGCAGAGCTGCTGAGGCGTTGGAGGCGATGGCGAGAAGGCAAAGCCCTTAAGGAGGAACAGATGGCTAGCAGCCATGGCAGCCACGTGGCCCCAGCAGGGTCTAGACATGGTGACCCCTGTGAGAAACTTCAGCTTGTGAGTGCAGGCAGCAGCAACGGGACTGGCCTCTGTGCACCCTCTATGGAGACCTCCTTGGCCTGCCAGTCTCTCAGGGTTGGCTGACAACCCCACTTGAATCCCCACTGGAGCCCAGCCAGGCTGGGTTTGGAAAGGGCCTTACAGGACAACCCAGAACCAGATGCCTGGCCTAGGCTGGACAGAGAATACGGCTGGACAACAGCTTGCACTGCCCACATTCCCCCAACCTGTCCTGACCCTGGTATGGGCTGCACTGATGGGGTGGGGGTTGAATATGATGGAGAAGTTGTGCTATGAAGTGTGGGTGTTCCCATGTGTGTTGACATGTCCCATGTGCACAGATATATGTCCTTCAGTAAAGAGCTCAAGTAATAGCTGCTATGCATATCCTGGACAGCAGGGCTTGACGCACCTAGGGAGTGCTGGAGGAGTCTGGGAGGGCTGGACCAGCTCAGGCAGCAGCCGCAGCAGCAGCAGTGGATGGGGACTCACCAGGCCGAGGGGGCTAATGCAACCCAGGAATAGCTGTCCCCAAAGTGGTGCTTTGGGGTAGGGACCGCTTCCTCCAGGATCACCCTGAGCCTGATTTGCCCCCTTGAGGAAGGGTTTTTGGTAAAGACTCTTGACTCAGTCATGCAAGCCAGAGCCTTGCTGGGTGGAAATGGGACACGTGAAGGGCTGTGGTCAACTTCTAGGGCTGTCTCTTCCGCCCGTGCTGTGATGCCTAGTGGGGGTGTGAGGGCGGGGCGGGGAAGGGGGGTCAGCCGGGTACCTCTGTTCAAGCTGCTGGAAGAAAATGGTGCGGGACCCTGGGGGAGGGGTGCACACAGCCAGCATCAGGCCACGTGGGCTGTAGCTGCTCAGGCAGAGCCAGGCTAATTGAAGCAAATGAAGGGACAGGAGGCCTCTCAGGAAAGGTAAATAGAATGACTCACCTGCTGGGCCAGGGACTGGATGGAGCCTGAAGGGGGCCTTCCCCTGCCGGTCTCCAAATGCCTGGGAGCAGCAGAGAGGGAAGTGGGGGGGAGACAAGCAGGAGGCCCGGGTCCCCTGGCCCAGGTGGGTATTTGAATTACTAGGACTGGAAAGGCCTGGAAGTCAGTGAAGCTCACTGCACCTGCTAGAGACCAGGGGGTTCTGACCCTGCAGCTTTCCGCAGCTCATCCCAGACCCCGGGGCTCCAGGCCCCGGATCCTGAACTCTGGGTGCCTGCTGTGGGCCCAGAGCCACTCCCAGCCGGCACATGCGTTATGTACACTCTCCTTCACGCCGGCTGAGCTCGGGGTTGGTGACTGCCTTGGGGGATGCAGCTTACTTGGGGCCTCCTGACAGCCCTCCCCATCCTGAGTCCCTCTGCCCTTGTCCTCCTCCTTCACCCCTGTCCCCATCTCTGTCCCCAAGGGAACTGGAGCTGGCTGGTACAGGCAGGGGGAGAGAAAAGTGGGAGCCAGGCAGGTTTCACCTAGCCAATGAACATGAGCCATGACCAGACAGCTCCACAGTGCTGGGGAAACTCTTTCCGGCTCAGCCCAGGGTCCATGCAGCATCACTTTCATTTCAGGGTTCATCTCCATGGTTCTCTCCTCTCCTTCAGTCCTGCATGTCAGTCCCCCTCACCCCAGGGGTGCTGGGTGCTGTCCAGCAAAGTGTGTGTGTGTGTGTGTGTGTGTGTGTGTGCCCTCAGAGGGACACAGCATGTGAATATGAAGGAAAGGAAATGGAGTCCTGTGTAGGTCTGTAACGATTCAGTGTTCCAGAGGAATGTGTCTGATGGAGTTGTGAGATGTTAGAAGGAAGATGACTTGCATGTGGTCCCCTGGAATCTCGTGGATGGACATTCATGCTACTAAGATGAAGGTGGAAACTGAGAAGGAAAGAAAGAAAGGAAACTGACCATCGGGGATCGAACTTGAGAGTTGAGCTGTGGAGGGCTGACTGAAGGAGGGGACCTTAAGCCAGAAAGGCAGCTCCAGACAGCGAGTGAAAATGAGCATAGACTGGAGGAGACTGGGTAGTGTTCAGGCTTTAGGACACGGGAAGCTAGGCAAACACAACCACATGTGGCAATCCCAGGACTTGGGAGGTGAAGCAGGATGATAAAGAATTCAAGGCCTGGAGCTATATAGCAAGTTCAAGACCAGCCTGGGCTACGAGAGACTTTCAAAACACAAAACAAAAACCTGAAGGTGCTGTGGGCCACTGTGCACGCCTTTAACTCCAGCATCTAGGAGGCAGAGGCAGGCGGTTTTCTGTGATTTTGAGGCTAGCTTGATCTGCATGGTGAGTTCTAGGACAGCCAGGGCTATGTAGAGAGACCCTGTCTCAAACAAACAACAACAAAACCCTTCAGGGCAGAGGATACAGAGCAATGGTCGAACGTGTGAAGCTGTGTCTAGTCCCACAAGTAATGCAGAGTGCATGCTGGGTAGAGTGGTGTGCAGGCCAGTGCTGGGCAAACAGGAGGGTCCCTGGGGCTTGCTAGCCAGCCAGTCCAGCCTAATCAATGAGTGCGTCAGGCCAGTGGAAATTCCGTCTCAAAGGAGGCAGGCAGACAGCTTCCTGGGGATGGCATTCAGGGCGTTTCCCTAACATGCATATGCCCTTGCACACACACACACAAACATGCACAGGCACACATGTACACATGTTGGCGTACAAAAAAGGGTAAGAAGGAAAAGAAAAAAGGCAGACGATGAAAGAAAGCAATTAGTAATTCCAAGGGGGGGAATAGAAAAAAAAAAACCAATTTACCATAGGGTTTGCTTTTGAATACAAACACAAACATCATGATGTAATCATTCAATCTTGATATGACTAAATTGTAGGGAAAACAAATATCTATGAGGGCTGGAGATGTAGCTCAGTTGTAGAGCACCTGCCCAGCATGACCCTCAGCATAGATGAGACGTGGTAGCATACGCCTAAGACCCCCTAAATTTACAAAGCTGGAAGGAAGAAGGGCCGGAATTTCAAGGTCACCATAAGCTACATAGCAAGGGTGAAGCCATCCTGAGATTCTATTGGGACTGGAGAGATAGATGGCTTTGTGGTTAAGAGCACTGGCTGCCCTTGCAGAGAACTGGAGTTCAGATTTCCAGCAATCACAAATGGCCATAACTACCGTTCCAGGGGATCCATGCCTCCCCCTCCCACACACACACACACACACACACACTCACATTAGAGGCACACACCTTTAGTCTCAGCACCAGGAGTACAGGTGGAGCTCTGTGACTCTAAGGCCAGGTGGTCTACATAGTGACATAATGAGTTCCGGGATAGCCAGAGCTACACAGAGAAATCCTGTCTCGAAAAACCAAATCAATCAATAAATAGATGAATAAATAAATAAAATCTAAAAGACCATCTTGTATTAGGGGTATAGCAGAAAGTGGGAAACCCAATAAATGAAAACTCAAGGATAAGCCGGGGCTTTGGTGGTGCATGCCTTTAATCCCAGCACTCGGGAGGCAGAGGCAGGCGGATCTCTGTGAGTTCGAGGTCAGCCTTGTCCACCAAGCGAGTTCCAGGACAGCCTCCAGAATACAGAGAAACCCTGTCTCAAAAAACAAAACAAAACAAAAAAAATTCAAGGATACACCTTTAGCTTAGAATATGGGAGGCTGTTTTTGTTTGTAATTTTATTGTCATTCCTGGCTGGAAGCACATGGTGATGCATATAGTTTTGCCGTTGTAAACAGCACAGGCAGAGAGGGCACACTGACCCACGAAGGCGCTTGTATCCTCTGGCTCACTAGCAAGCAGGCCTGGTAGCCCTCTGGATGGCTAAGGGTTGCAAGTGTCACTTAGTGGTGACATCAGCTTCAGGATGGCCTGCAGAGACCAGCTTCAGGTATCTACACCCTGATCCTATCCCTCTCCTCAGGGGATAGATGCAAAGGCCTCATCAAAGTTCTCAACCTGAGCCGGGTGGTGGTGGCACACGCCTTTAGTCCCAGCACTTGGGAGGCAGAGGCAGGTGGATCTCTGTGAGTTCAAGGCCAACCTGGTCTACAGAGCAAGTTCCAGGACAGCCTCCAAAACATTACAGAGAAATCCTGTCTCGAAAAACAAAACAAGTTCTCAACCTGTATGGTGAACTCTGTGTAGGCGGTGGTAGCCCTGGGCAGGGAAGGAAGATGGGCCTGTTGTAGGGTTGGGGGCCAGGGAACAATGGGCATACCTCCCTGAGTCCTTGAAGCAGGTTAGCCCCATCTACCGAACCCCATTTTCCCCACCCCTGCTCACTTTTTGACCTGAGTAAGCCTGGGGTCATCCAGCACATGAGGCTCCATGCAGAGGGCATGGGTACTGGGATGTCCCCTTACAGCCCGCCCCAGTGTTATAAGCTAAGGCAAGGGACTCCCGGGGAACTGAGAGGCAAAGCACACAGGCCTAGGTGGCTGGGGTCACAGGTGAAGAAGGCAGAACCCACAGTCCAATACAGGGCTGACCCAGTTGTTAGGAGGCCCAACTATATGGCTTTGATACATGCAGGGGCATTTAGGTACATACAGTGTTGCCTGGCACTGAGCTCACCGTATTGGGCTAACCTTGTCACGTGAATCCAGGAGTGATTAATGGTGGCAGCTGGTACTTAGCCTGGGAAACCACACAGGAACCAAGTGCTAATCACTTTAAGAGGTTGGGATATGACAACTTTGCTGAAGGTCATGTGTGTCACCAGCCCAGCCAGAGTCCAAGCCCACTACTCCTCCAGGAAAGGCTGGGAAACCCCTGGAAATGCTCTGGCATAGCTGGGATGAAATCAACACCACTAGGAGGCAGAAATGACCTCAGGTTAGGATGTTGCCTGATCCCTCAGTGGACACGCTGGTCTCCTGGGTTGTGTGCCCACCCACCTTGTCCTGGTGTCCCCTGAGCGGCCCACACCCCTTCCAGTCCTGACAATCAATCGGAAGCAGATTGGGTAACCCACAGCCTGGGACACTGAGCCTCTTCAAACAGCCCAGCATGCCCCAGGGAACTGACAATGCCAAGTCATGGGGGATGGCTTGGCACCTCAAACAGTTTTCTCGCTGCCCTGTATTGCCTGCACCTCCCTGAGGAGACTTGTCTTGCTCAGCTCACACGCAGGAGACGCCTCTGGGGGCCACTTGAGCCCTGGATACTCTTCTGGGAAAGCATGGTCCTGAAATAAATCCCACTTTGGCATCTTCTCAGGAGTGGGAGAGTTCCAGGGCTGTTTCCACAACTGAAGGTCAAATGCAAGCAGGTCTCTCCTGGGCCCAGCAGCTGCCCCTGGACAGTCAAGGAGCCAATGCTCCTCAGAGTCCATAGACCAAGCCAGCAGGGAGTTCAAGGTGGCCAAGGGGTGCCACATGAGGAACGGCACCCTGGAAAACACGAGGGT